GCAGAGAGGACCCAGGGCTGGCACCAAGGAAAGCCTAGCCGGCTCGCCCTTGCACGGCCCTTCGATTGGCCCCGTGGGAAGGAAGAGACCCCACCCAGCCGGAAGGAGGGTAGTTACGTGCTGGAGTGATTTGCGAGTATTTTACGGTCTTATCTGTTAATAATAAAAATGAAATTACATGACGGTACAGCCATGTGTGGGCTGCAGGACAGTTAATGAGTCAGATGCGTGTAGTCAGATGCGTGTCCCTTTAATTGAGGCCTAATGACTCTGGTAATAACACCCTGGGTCTGCTTGTGGCTTCTTTCTTCTGAGGAGCTCAAAGAACTTTCTCCTCTTATCTCGTCGCCCTCCCTGACTTCCCAGGGAAGTGGCTCTTATCAGCGATGTTTCTCAGGGGTCTGGGTGCTGTGACTCATGGCCTGGGTGTGGCCCAGGTGAGTCTTCTTCTTAGCTCACTCTGTGGTGGCTCCGTTTCCTAGGCGACCATGGCAGTCCTGGCTTTGAGGGCACAACAATGTGATCCTACCCAGGGAAGTTGAAACATGGGAGGCGGAGTGGGGGGGGGGGAGAGAAGGACCTGATGCAGGTCCAGGGGCAGATGTGAGGTCCCCTCCCCCAAGGACTCGGCATATTAGAAACAGCATCCTGAGAGTGAGCCATGTATTTTTTTTAACTCCCCATCTCTCAGACCAAACCCCAGCACAGGGTGTGGTATGTAATCTAAATATACAGATGGTGAGATGGTAGGTGGAAATGTGTTGGGATTGTTCAAGACCCTGTTTCAAGGTCATGTTGCTGTGATAAAGTGTGAGGGGGACCTTCTGTGGGGGACCCTGGCGGGTTCCATGGCAGGTGAGGGTGACTGAGGCGGAGGGACAAACACGCCAGGCAGACAGAGCTTAGTGAGAGGTTTTATTAGAAAGGAGGGGGTGGAGAAAAGAGGTAAAGAGACACAGAGATAGAGACAGAAGAGAAGAGGGAGACAGGAAAAGTCCTGTCTGCCCCGGGGGAACAGCGGGAAAGAGAGAGGGATAAGAAGAATGTAAGTGGGCAGGGGTCTTTTAAAGGGGTCCTTTGCATCCTAGTAGTCATGGAACTCTGGGCTGACCAGGGCACTGCCTGAGTGCATTCTGCCAGGTGACAGGGGCAGGCCAGCATAGTGCCTGAGTCCTTACACATGTCTCCTGTCTCAAAAAGCCTCCCTTGGTCCTACCAGGGTCTTATTCTGTCATCATGGACTCTCCAAGCCCTTGGAGCCTTGGCTTATCTTCAGAGAGCACTGTGTTAGCCGTGTGCCAGCCACATCCATGCATGGTGGCACCAAGATGAGGCCAGGTCTGACTTGCAAGGGTATGTGAGCATAGAAGGTTTCACACCATAGACTTGGAAGACAGAGACATGGGGATGGCTTGCCGTGCTTTGAGGCAGGGGAGGCCAGATTTGAACCCTGTGTCCAGCCTCATGACATCGTCTGTGGGGATCAGGAAGTCCCTCTGTGAGCATCCTCTTTCCCTGCTTCCTCATTTCAACAGAACAAAGAAGTCTCACTTTGCTGGCTTGTGGTGAGGCTAACTGTGGTGACTCTCCTTGGTTCTAAATAGGTGCTGGGTGTTAATTTCTAGTGATTTATCTTAGGCTTGGTGGTTCCCAGCCCTGGCTCTGAACCAGACTGGTCCTTCTTTGCAGCAGGTTTGTCTGATAACCCTCTGGGACATTCTGGTCCCTTTACCTGCAGCTGGTCCAGGTACCACCCGCCTGTCACAAAGACACCTCTGATGGTTCTGATGCCAGAAGGGCTTCATTTTTGTCAAATTGAATGTGTGATTGGTTATAAAATGGTATAAAAGTCATTATGCCCAGGTTTCTAAGGTCCCTGAGTACAATGGCCAATGGTCTCCTCCAGGGAAAGCAGCTGGACTCACACGGCAGCCAGAAGGCCGGTGGACTGGGTGGGGGGTAGTTACCTGGCCTCTTTGTGGTGACTCTGTGATCCAGTTGCGCTTCCACACCTGAGATTTGCCTGTTGCTTGGGAAGAGTCCAGGGCTGATGTCTTCAGTGCAGGCTTGCCACACTTTTCACTTATGAAGAGCCCCAGAGACTCCATGACTGTCGTTCAGTGGGGTTTCAAGAGATGTTCCTTGGCCTTTGGTCAATTTATGTCTCAATTTTATGAAGAATTAGGGGAGCAGTTGAAAGTTTATAACCATTTTCAGCCTCTGCCAATATCTGAGAGACCCTAAGAAACCTCTGTGAAATGTGGGAGCTAACCATGCCTTCTTTCTGGAAACTAACAGCCCCTAAAAGGCCCAGAGTCAGTGACACAGATAGGATTAAGCTTAGGACTGGAGTGAAAGCCAGACGCTACCAGCTCCTTGCTGAGCAACTTAGGACAGGCCAAAGAGCCCACAGAGAGGATAAGACGTGAGCTGGATGACATTTCCCCCCTCAAAGGTATGTTATCTGGGAAAAGAATGTGGGGAATTTGTTACAAACATGAGAGCAGTTGTTGTGAGTCTTTCTCTGTCCTGCTGGCCAGCTCCCAAATAACCACACAGAGACTTATTGATTATGAAAGCTTGACTGATAGCTTAGATTTGTGAGTTTGGTTGCTACAGATTACTATTAACCTGCATTTATTATCCTAAACAGCTTTCAAAGAGTAAAACTCTGCATTTTTAAATGAGCTGCACAGGTGTAATACCTTAAACAAGAATAGAAACATATAATGTGTAACAGAAATAACTTTAAATTTATATCAATATAGAGAAATCCATACGCATGTAAAGTATCTGAGACTAATGGTTGTTCAAAAGTAGGCTCAACAATTTATCCTTTATCCCATTATTTCTATACTATATCCCCCCTTTTTCTCTTCAGGAAGAGATTCCTAAATCTAATGTAAATAAAATCTCTTTTATTCAGGTTTTCTGACCATGACCAATAACACTTTGTAACCAACCCCCCTAAATGATGACCAACATCCACAACCCAATGAATGACAAAAGACCACCCACCCCACATCTTGGGAAATTGGGCATTGTGTTCTCTAGACTGCTTCCTGTTGTCTGGGAGCAGTGGCACCGTTAAGGAACCCTGAAAGAATGAAGATAATGGTTAAATCCTGGGGGAGCTAGCTACTGTCCAGTCTTGGTGTGATGGGATAATGTGAGGCTTACCTAAAGTTCTAGCTGGAGTAGCCAGCAGTCTTTAAATTCTTCAGGATGCAGAACTTTAAGGAAATTGCAACAGAGGCACTTTGAGAGGTTGGATCGCCTGGGCCTCCCATTTTCATTGGTGTCTGGTCCCCTTGATCTGTATTGTATTGTTTTTTTAAGGTTTATTCATGTCTGTAGCCAAGATTTCCAAATCTGATCTCTATCAATCTTGAATGAACCCACAGCCTTTCATTTTCTGTGGAAGCAAAAGCATAACCTCTTTCCCAGTGTGACATATTCTTTTGAGTGCCATTTTGAAGTTATAACATTTTTTAAAACATGCAAATTGATAACCTGTCTGCATGAGCAAAATCTTAAACCACCACATGGCTTAGTTCATGGTGTGCTGGTGTTTCAAGCCCACAGACAGTGGCCGAGAGATGTGTCTCTGTACCATGGCCCACATGAGAGACTGTGGGACTAGGCAGCTGTCTTTGCCTACATTTTTGTGTGTTTGGAACCTTTTTTTTCCTCAAGCTTTCTCATGTCTTGCGCTGGGTGCTATTCATTGTGAATCTTTCTCTTTCCTGCCAGCCAGCTCCCCCCAAAACCACATGGAGACTTATTAATTATGAAAGCTTGGCCAATGACTTAGGCTTGTTTTTTTTTTTACTATCTTTTTAAACTTAAATTAGCCTATTTCTATTAATTTACATGCAGCCACGTGGTTCATGGCTTATTACCTCATCTTCTACGTGTCATGCTTCCTCTGGGCCTCCTCGAGACTCTGCCCTTCTTGTCTCCAGCTTCCTCCATGACTGGACATCCTGCCTAGCTATTGGTCATTCAGATTTTTTTTATCAAGCCAGTCAGAGTAACATATCTTCACAGTGTACTAAAAGATTCCACAACAAGCAGTAAATGGCCAATGATAGAATCTAGTAAGACCCAGATCCACATGATGTGGGGGTCAGGAGCCTGCAGATGCTTAGCCTCGGTGTGTGGGGCTTCTAACCTCACACACCTGGAAGAGGCAGCAGGGAATGGGGCTCGGGGATAGAATACAGAGTGGAGCATCTTCTCACACACAATTGTCTTCAGTGTTTACGCAGTCGTCGAAGACCTCATGGTGTCAGTGCTCAGCAGCAGTAGGAGCTAATGTGTTTCATATATGACAGCTGAGGTCCAGGCCAGTCACATTGCAATCTGGTGGCACCAGAATTTGAACCCACATTGATCTGTCTCTGTGCTCTGTCCTCATCGCTACAGTTGCCGGTGTTGAAGGGAAGTACTTGGGTGTCTTTGGGTTCTCACTGGAGTGGCTGTCTAGACATTCCTTGCATCAAAGCAGTCACCGTTCCTATTCCTTTTCTGGGAGCTACAGAGCTCGTAGTATTTGGTTAGGGAGAGGAGTTGTATGTGACAGGGCCAAAGACACCAAGGTGTGGGCTACTGTCCTCACAGTTAAGAGACGGGGTCCTACTCAGGGCTCTAAGCAGAGCCATGCACTGTCTCTGCAAGCTGAGCCTGGAGTGATGGCCCCAAACATGATCAATATGAGAGCTGACCAGGGCGAGTAGGCAGGTCCTGACGTCTCGAAATTCACAGATGCTCTAAACCTGGTATTACCTGGGAGACTTGCAGGATTGTGCAAGGGTGACCTCTACTTGGGTCCAGAAAGCAAGACAAACAACTTCTTTTCTGTGCGCAGGGACTGACTCATTTTCTAAGAAGCCCAGTCATTCCCTGGTTGGCTTGGGAGCCAAGCCAGGACAGAGTGGGTGGCGACATCCTTGTCCTTCCCTTCTGCAGAAAGTACAGGTCTTAGTCCAGGAGAACGGGTACGGGAGCAGCACAAGACTCCCGCCCTCCATTCTGACCTGTTTGTCCCTCCTAACCCTCAGACCTCACACTTACAGACCAACCTTAATCAGGACGTTCTGATCTGCCCCAGACTTACTTTCCTCACCAGCACAATGGGATCAGCATTGCCTGCCTCTCAGAGCTGTGAGTAATCGTGGAGATTCAACAGTAGAGGAAAGGAGGGCTTGCCCTGTCAACAGGATGCCTGGGTTTAAATCACTAGCCGTGTGCGCCGTCACTGATTTGGGAAGTCCGAGGCCCCTCAGAGTCAGGAGGATCACCCATACAATAGAGCTCTGTTGTGCTGTTGCTGGGAACTGCGCAGGAGAATGCTCCTGGGTTCCCCTCCCCGCCCCCAGCATTCCTCACACATCCAGCCCAAGTGGTAGCTGCCTCTTCTCCTTCCTGGCTCATTCCCTCGTGACTGCCGAGAGGAGATATTTGGATCTGAAGATATCAAATTATTTCAGGCAACTCTTTTCCCGGCTCCTGTTTTAGAAATGGGGATCAGAAAAGCGCAGCCTCTCAGGTTGTTGGGAGACTGAGTCGACCTGAGTACCAGGCCAGCGCAGCTCCGGAAGTGTTCCGTGGTGTTAGCTTTTGTGGCTGGTTATAAATAGTTCCTCCCTGTGTGGGTGATGCCTCCCTGGCTGGTGCTGTGTGTGCCTGTGTGGTCAAGGCTGAACTGACTCACCCTGGAATGACAGACCTTGATAGCTGGCACCCAGGCTGGTGCTGGGCGGGGGCAGCCGGGCTCCTTACTAAATGCAAGGGACAGCTCAGGTGTTCTTGGAACAGGTGCCTTTGGCCTTTGCTAGGCCCAGAGAAGGAAAGGAAGTAAGCCTGTGGCTATCAGGACACAGGAAAATGGGATGATGCCCCTACATTTTTCCTAGACAAAGATGTTCATAGGGCGTGCTATGCTTCTTTCATGGGGGCGGGCCATATATGAGGCTGTTGGAGGGACACCCCTCATTCTTGTGGGGCAAATGGACGGGGGGGTGCGGGGGAGGAAAACCAGAGCCTGCTTCTGGACAAATGAGGCAAGATAAGTTTCCTTCCCAGGATGCAGAGGAGATGGGTGAGACTCAGGCCCACTGTACACAGAACATAAAATTCTACAACTGTGTGTGTATAGCAATGGACCTGGTGGGGCAGGTGGACAGCCCAGTGGATTCTAGAGGCACAAGGGAAAGCCTGTGGGGGAGGCCAGCTGTCAGACTCCTAGATGGAGATACGGGGGCGGGAAGCATCCCACTTCCTCATCCCCCCCATCCTTGACGTCATCAACTGATACCCTCGCATTGTGGAACCACTTTCACTGAGGTCATCACTGACCTCCTTGTGGCAAACCCAAAGCCTCCCTTTTAACCAGTGGGGATACCCACTTGATACGTAGTTCATGTCTCTCTTGACTCCTGGTTCTTTTCCTGCCTCTCTGGCTCTCTTGCTCCCCTTTCCGTTGTGACTCTATCTGTCCCAGCTACCTATCTCTTTACCTCCTGTCCAACCATCTCCCCATCTTTACGATGGAGAGACTTTCATGGAGGCAATGTTTATAGAAGTACGGAAGTTCCCAGGAGAACACAGCTCACAGAATCAACTAAGCAAGGCTCGTAGTGCTCAAGAGACTGAAGTGACAATCATGGGGCCTACACGGGTCTGTGCTAAGTCCGAAGCATATGTTGTGGATTATGTAGCTTGGGTTTCTGTGGGACTCCTAACAGTGGGAGGGGGTGTCTCTGAGTCTTTTGCCTGTTCTTGGGACCCTTTTCCTCCTACTGGGTTGCCTTGTCCAGCCTTGATATGACGGTTTGTGCCTAGTCTTATTGTATCTTGTTATGCCTGTTAGGTTGATATCCCTGGGAGGGCTGCTCTTTTCTGAAGACGCAGGAAGAGTGAACAGGATGAGTAGTGCCTCCTCACTGCATGGACAAGTGTGGCATGGCACCAACCCTCAGTTGAGTTTTCAGTTTCTCTACAATTTGCTTTCCCTCCTCTTTCAACCTCAGCTCCTGTGACCCACCTCCTACTTCTGGTTCTGGCAACACTCATCTGTCCTGGCTCAGGCACATCACACCCCAAGCCCCCATCGCTCTGTGCCTGTGCCTGATCCCTCCTTGTCCTTCAAGGCCTCTGTTTGCCAGGAAAGAGGTCTTGTTCCTGTGGACTCTCGGGAAGGCTTATCACCGTGCGATGGATGTGTTGTGGGATGGAGCATGCGTGTGACTAAGTTAACAAGTGTGTGCAGACGATGTTACATCTCCTAGAGACTATTCTACATGCTTCACACATATAAACTAATTCCATTTATGTCACAACGCTATAAAGAAAGCATTGTTATTGTCCCTATTCTATGGGTTATAAAACCGAAGCATGGAATATAACTAACTCTTCTTGTCCCTGTGACCAGCTCCCCGGTAGGAAGAAACTTAAGAGATGGAAGGCTCATTGTGGTGGGGAAAGTGTGGTGTTGGGAGAAGCCTCAAGGTGTTTGCTCACATCCCTGGGTACCAGGAAGCAGAGACGGGGCAGCAAGTGGAGGCGGACCATAAACAGAGACACATGTCCTTCAGGTAGGCCCCACCTCCCCAGAGTTCTATAACCTCCTGAAGCAGAGCTACCGGCTAAGGACCAGTTGTTTGAATACATGTTTTGGGGGGGTGGTTCATTTGTCACCGAAACCCTAATGTGTGCAGAAGTTAATGAGACTGTCCAAAGTCACACAGCTAGAAAGTTCTCTGGATAGGATTTGAACCTGACACTGGGATGTAGGCAGAGGGTTTTGATTGCCTTACTGAAGAGGGAGACCTTGACTTTGTAGACATGATGAGCTGTGGAGGGGAGACGCTGTCGGGACCACTCCCCAGCTCCTGGTTGTAGAATGGTGGTTTCCTTCACAATCAGTTGCTGGGTATTTCCCCCCTATTTCCTGGAAGTACCAAGGCTGAGCTTGGGTGAAGAGAAACTTTTTGAAGCTGTGTGAGTGGCTAGGAACATCTGGCAGGGGGGTTGCTAAGCAACTCCAGAGGTCTAAGCGCTGGTAGAACCTGAGAACTGGCCTGGCCTTCCTGGTGAGTGAAGGACATGGCTTCCTGAAGACACCCACACCCTGTGCCTTCTAGCCCTTTCTTCTCATCAGTCTTGGTGGTAGAATGTGTGTGTGTGTGTGTGTGTGTGTGTGTGTGTGTGTGTGTGTGTGTACACTTAGAGTATCAAAGCCAGACAGAATTTGCTAAGGGCTCTGTGGGCCAAAAGAAGACCCAAGGACCAGTCACTGGACTCTTTGACTTGGTATTTTGAGTATTCCTAACCTGTTTTTTTTTGTCTTCTAAAATAAAGATTTATTTGACAAGGTTCATTTAGCACAATACACCTAGAAGGAAACCACAATGCAATGAAAGACTTAAATCAAGACCTCAGGATTTCATACAAACACCAAGACCAAAACTCCTAAAGTCATGGTATTGCATCTCAAAATTTCTCCATCAACTTAAAAAAAAAAAAAGAAAAAAGCTTTAAACTCACACGCCTTAATGAGTCCAATCCAGGGTGTGGGTGACTTGGGGAACAGAAGGAAGTGGAGATGTGTTATAGACTGGATTTATGTTTCCAATTATATATTGAAGTCAGGATCCCCATGACCTCAGAATGTGCCTGTCCTTAAAGATGTAATGTTTACTGATTTCATTGGGGTCATAATGCTTACAGGGGCCATTAGGGTGGATATCAACTGGAGTCTTCATCAAAAGAGGGGACTTGAGCCCAGACTCCATATAGGAGGATCATTTGAAAACACAGGAAGGAGACAGCCATCAAGCAGCCCAGGAGAGTCACCTTGGGACATACCAAGCCTGCTGACACTTTGATCTCCTACTTCAGCCTCCTACTGATCTCCTACTTCAGCCTCCAGAATTACACGAACATAAATCTCACTTGCTTACATTATCCTGAGGTGGAACCTACTCCAGTCAGCTCAAGAAAACTATTGGACGGTAACACCATGGTCATCTCATTTGCCGTGCCCCCCAGTCATGGAACTTCAATTCCCATGGGGTCAGCCTAAGCAAACAGGAAGGGAATTCTGGCTAGAGAGGGACTGAGTGTAGGTGACCCTGGGCATAGGGCCAGATGGGCTGTCATAGCCAGACTGTCAGGCCCTGCCCTCAGGGAGCTCCTAATCCCATGGGGAGACAAGTACACTGTGAGGTAAGTACCTATGAGTCACTCAGTAATGAGACACACACATAAGACGGGAGAGGTGAAAGTCCACTGTCCAGGATGATGTCACAGTGGATTGCTTTGAAGGATCAGCCTGGGGGCTGTGTATAGTAGCAAGTGTGAGGACCAGAGTTCAAATCCCCAGAACCCTTGTAGAAAGCCAGGCATGAGCATGTGTGCTTGTAACCCCAGGGTCTAAAAGAGAGAACGTTATGGGTACTTAATGTCCTTGTCTGGCTTCTGTGTGTGCCTACACAAGCACTCATAACACTCATAAACTCAGGTGAATGAACTCACCCCCTAACATGTAGCCCATACCATGTACATGGATGTAAGTTCACATGTGTGTGTATGTTTCACACACACACACACACACACACACACACACACACACACACACCCCAGAGAAATGCAGAGTCAGCCTAGGCCCAGCAACTAGAGAATGGAGGGAAGGGCATCCCAGAGGAGGTGTACATGTATGCATGTATGTAAAAGGTCACAGGCATGTGTGATTACTAGGGAAGGTGGGCTATGATGCTGGAGACCGTGGTTGGAGCCCAATCACCATAGGTTGAGTTTAGGGAACCCCAGAAGGGACACTGTTCTTCAGACAGAGCTCTGGGGCAGCAATGCTGCAGGCTAGTTGGGGACCGTAGGCAGGTAACTTAGTTTTCTGGGATGTCAACATTCTCTGGTGCAAACTAGTGATGATCACAGTACTTGCTTCGGAGGGTTGCTGTGAAGATTAGTAACAGAAAGCTCTACAGCGTGCTTTGTCATGTGGTTGGGCCTTGATAGGCCTGCTCTTGCTTAGCTTGGATTTCTTACCTGTCTTCCCCCCAGCGTGGCTGAAATATTCACTTCATCAGCTTCTCTTACTGGGCATGGAGTGGAGTTAGGTGAGTGGAGGAAGCCACTTGTCACCAACCGGAACTGAGAACGGAGAGTGTGGAGGCCCCTGGAGACACATGAGAACCTCCCTGAAAGCATTAGTGCAGGGTTCCGGGATGCTTGGCTCTTAACACGTCACCCTCTGAGGCTTTATAGGTTGGTCACACATGCACCAGGGGAGGAACCAAAAAGAGGATCTGGAAGAATGATGCGTTTTCTCAGTAAGAGCCCAAGGAGACGGCCAGGCAAAGGGATGCTGTCTCTGGCTCTGGTGAGAAAAGTTGCAGTAAGGCGGCCCGGCCCGTCTTGTGCACGCCGCATGCCTGCTGATGGAATGTTCTAGGCTTGAGTTAAAGACCTCCCTGAACTGTTTCTACACCCTGATAAGCCCCGCCGCCGCCAACACAGCAATCCAAATCACACCAAACCAAACTGAATTAGAAAAAAAAAACCCACGTTTCACGGATAAAACGCTCCCGGATGATTTTCCAGCCCCCAAGAGAGGAGACGGAAAAGAGAGACCGGAAAACCACAAGTCTGTTTTCTGGAGGACAGGTCAAATACCCCGTGGGAGTGGTCTTGAGCATCTCTGAGGTGAGGGTGGGGGTGATCATTTGGTGGGCTTTCTGAGGTACATCAGGGTTTGGAGAGAGAGATGGAGGAGGGGGCTTGGGGTGGAACTTCCATGAGAACATTCCAGATTCTTTGGGTGTGTGGGTACCACAGGCTGGGGTGAAGATTCCACGAGAACACTCCCCCCCCAGTTTCTTTTGATAAGGTTAAAAGATGTAGACAATGACCTTCCTTTCATAACGCAAGCCTTCTTGCCCAAATGCCATGTGCCTTTAGTGCATTTCCCCTGACCCCATTGTCCGTCTGACTCTTCTTTGTCATGCATCAGCTTAGCTGTCACTTCTCCTCAACCTGGAGTCAGATGCAGCTCTGGTCCTTCCCACAGCAGACTGGCCTGCGCCTGCCACCTGCCACTGGGTGTACTTGTTGAGGGTTGGACTGCTGTCCGGATTGCTACCTCTGACCAAGGAGGTCCTCAGGTGCCTTGTGGGCGACCATGCTCAGTATCTGGTCCAGGCAGAGGGAAGCCCAGCAAGCTGATGAATGCCACCCGCAAGTTTATAAGTTGTTTCTCAGATGATGGTCCCTGCCTCTTCCTCTTTCTTCTTCTTTTGGTTTTTAGAGCCTGGCTTTCTCTGTGTAGCCCTGGCTGTCCTTGAACTTGCTCTGGAGACCAAGCTGACCTCGAACTCACAATGATCTTTCTGCCTCTGCTTCCTGAGTGCAGCACTTAAAGGCGTCTGCTACCAGAGACCAGCTTAGGCAGGTGTGGGGAGACGTTCAGGACCCAGTGAGGATCTGTGTAGTGTCAGGGAAGGGAGAGGAGGAGACAGACACAGTCTGAATCGGGATGGCTCCAGCGTGTTTATCGAAAAAAAGAACACACTTCTTATACTCTATGGTAGCGCATAGCATTAAGAGGGAGGAAGGAGGCAAGTGAGCTGGGGTGTGGCTCGAGATCAGTGGCTGGGGAAGCTAAGCATTGACCTTGGCAATAGGCTCCAGTTGTGTGTTAATGGAAGGGCCCCAAGTTCTTCTTGCTAGAGATAAGAACGTGTTTCCCTTTATAGCAACCTGGAACTTTCTCCAACCGTCTGAGGGATGGGGACTTGTCTAAATGCCTGACCTTGAGGAAGCAGGCATTCCATCATAGAATATTCCACTTTCTTATATGGCTTAGCTTATCTGAATAGTTAAAACTTAAAAGTGAGCAAAGATGAAACTAGACAAGTATTACTCTGAACCTGAGAACACTTTAAGGATTTGTAAATATTAATTATCAAATATACCTTATTTATCAAGCATATGTTAATTCATCTAAATTTTCTAGCAGCTCGGTGTGACTGTGTATGGCAGCAGGCAGAGTTATCACATTATATGGTTCCATAGTGGTGGAGCTTTTTTTCCAAGGAATTATTTTGTTTAGAGTGGCGGTCATTGTAAACATGTTCATCCCTCAAAACCCCCACAAAACTTCCCAGAGGGAAAGGCCTAATTGTTGTAATCCAGGCACACCTGTCCCTGTCCCTTGGAGACCTGGCAAAGAGTGCCCACCCCTGCATGCGCGGTAGGCAGTAACCTGGTTCCGTGCCCAGGGGCAAAATGACCCTTTAAGACGCAAACTCCACACACTTCCTCCCTCTCTTTCTGCCCTGTCTCTGAGGAGGCAGACAGATCTGTCTGTCTCTCTGTCTCTGTCTCCTCTCTCTCCCCACCTCTCTCCCTTCTTCCTGGTGTCGTGTTTGTCCCCCGCCATGGGATCTGCCTCGGTGTCACCTTGTGCTGTGTCCCTAACACTAACAGTGAGAATCACTAAAGATGAGAGCAGAAGGAAGCTGGAGAATTGTGATCCACAAAGTCCGAAACGGTTGTCACGTGGTCCGTGACACGCCCCCACCACTGCCTGGCTTTGGTGATGCTTCTTAAAATGAATCTTAAGTTAGATGCTGAAAATGACTTACTCTTTGCAGGAGTTTGTGCGCTTATGAGTCTAAAATGAGCCCAGTCGTGCAAATGGCTTTGTATTCTTGTTATTATAGAATAGAGATCCACGGCATGGATTCTCAAGCTGGACTGATGGATTTGGATTTCATTTCCACACCCAGAGGCTGCATGACTGTGGGTGAATGATGGGATTTTTATGTGCCTCGGTCTCCTCATTTGTGAGGCAGAGGCATTAATAAACATGACGGGTTGCTGTGATGATGAAATTGGCCAACATGACAGACTGAAGGTGAAACATCCTCCATAGATAGGTTGTCCCTAGATAGTGGGATGCTGTGTTAGGAGGTAGTAGGGTGTCTGAGACGTGGAGCCTAGCCAGATGGGGTAAGGGCCTATGGGTTATGCCAGGCAATGCACTCTGCATCTAACTCTGATTCTTGACTGCTGTACCAGTGTAAGCAGCTGCCTTGTACTCCTGCTGTTCCTGCCAGAGGCTTCTACTGCCACGCCTTCCCCAACATGATGGGCTGCATCTCCTGGCTGGACCATGAGGCAGGACTGACCCTTCTTCCCTTCAGCTGTCCCTGCCAGGTGATGTCTAACAGCAGACTACGTTTGTAAAGGACTTGTTACAGTGGCCCTCAAACATCTACATACACTGATGGGGGACGTCCTTCTGTATATATGCCCCTCTTATTGGTTGATGAATAAAACACTGACTGGCCAGTAGCCAGGCAGGAAGTATAGGTGGGGCTACGAGATGAGGAGAATTCTGGGGAGAGGAAGGCAGAGGGAGAGGCCACCAGGAGATGCCATGTAGCTGATGAAGGAGTAACAGGTCTGGACCCCTCTCCAGTAAGATAAGACCACATGGAAATACTTAGATTAATAGAAATGGGTTAATAATTAAGAGAGAGCTATCCAATAAGAAGCCTGAGCCATTGGTCAAACTGTTTATAATTAATACGTCTCTGTGTGCTTATTTGGGGCTAATTGGCTGTGGGACCAGGCTGGAAAGAAACTCAGTCTACAATGCACTACATACAATTTGTTAAAATAAAAGGCCATTTCTATAAACTAAATCGTTGTCTCCATCCTGAAGAAAACTGTTGTCCTGGCCCCAGAACAAGGCAAACCCAAGACCAAAGCCTCTTTTCTGTGTATGCCTGCCCTCCGATTATCCACTCTTTTACCGTTTGTGGTATTTTGTCTTGGATTGTCTTGTCTTTTTCATCTTTTAATTACACTTCCTTTCTTGTCTGCTAAATTAAGGCCACTTTATACTGAAGTGAAAGTAATGGGTAAGACCTGAGGAGCATCCTTTCCAAAGTTACTCTAGTAGCGTGACATCCCCAGGAGGCCGGAAGCCATGAGTTACTCATGCTGGCATTGCGCTTGCCCACGGTTTGACCCTGGTTGGCCTACTTTCCAATGTTGGGACACAGAGGTAGGAGTAGGTGGGTTTGACCACAAGGAAACCCGGGGTGGTGAGGGCAGGATGTCCCATGAGCATTGGGAATGAGTAGTTCACAGTAAAAACACTCAGAGTCCTGGCCTGCCCATTGCCACTCCAAGGCCAAGGAGCCCTCAAAAGCCACACGGCCAGGCCTCAAAGGAGACTTGTGGTTTTGGAGTCTGGATGACAACAGAGCTGGGCATGGGATCTTGGGTAGGAGGCTGCCTTGGGGACCATAAGTGACCATTCTAAGTGGCATGCAAGCGTAGAAAGGAAAAAAAAAAGGTGGTAGGGGAGAGAAAGAAAAAAATTTGCTTAAAAATTTAGGGGTGACCTCCTTTGTTGGTCCTTTCCTCTCAAGAAAAGGCAAACAGAAAAGCAGGGCCTGGTTGATCCTGGGGCCTGGTTGAACTCTTGGGTTTCAGAATGAGTAGATCATTACAGAAGCAAGTTGGCCTCGGTGGGGCAGCCTTTTGGGAGAGCCACTGCTGAGGGGTCTAGCCATGCCCTGTCCCTCAGGCCCTTTGACATGGGCACTTCCGGGCCACCTGCAGTGTGGTGTCTCAGGTGCCTCAGCTGTTCCTCCTGATGTCCCCGGCAGGGAGGTGTGACAGTTCAGCCTGTCTTATGGAAAGGGAGACCCCACACTTTTAGGAAGACGACCTTTCTTGCTCAAGACCAGGAAGAGAAGAAACAGCAGTGGTTGGTGATGTGAGGGGTGTGACACGGCCGTGGGGCTCTGCTTTGCCAGTTGGCCGGGAGGATGAGACGGAGTAAGGCAGAAGGCATATCTGGTCTTGATTTCGGGGGAGAGTCACCACGGGAAATCGAACACAATATCCCTGTTCCCTGGGTGACTAACTCTCTTTGAGTGGTAATGGATCTGGAAGAATCCAGATGGAATCCCAGGTCCCCATTCTGCTACCCACACTCCAAGGACTACTTCTGAACCTCGACTTCCTAATCTGGAAAATGGGGAGATTGTTGTAGCCCTGTCCTTTGCAGCCTCTATGGGCACACGTGACTGCTGGCTCTTACTACAGCATTTTTTTTTTCTCGTCAGCTCTTTCCTTTAGCATTTTATATTTATGTGGTGAGGGAATTGCCTATTTTTGTCCCCGTTTTACAGATTATGATATGAAGCATTAGAGGGGTTACTTGCCCCAAATTCAGGCAAACAGACCAGAGTTGTAGCCTAGGACTTTGGCTGTGCTATGCTGGTTCCCATTGCTGGCTTCCTGCCCCTGTTGGCCAGCACCGTTGTGCCGGTTTTGGAAGCAGCAGAATCAGGGTGAGAGTCTCTGGTTCCCCAGGCTTCCCCTCAGGTTCCTCCCTTACAGGTCTCTACCCTCACCTCCAGGCACCCAGAGCTCTTCCACACCTGTCCTACCCAACCTGTTTGCCTTACTACCGCCTCTCCAGGACCTAGCCTATACAGAGCCATCCTGCAACCCCGCTGGGGACTTGTAGTTGGAGCCCCGCCTGCATCCACAAACACAGCATGGGTAGAAGTTCCCGTTTACACAGCCACTCTGGTCCCCAGAGGCTTGTTGAATGCCTGCCCGAGAGTCCTCACTGTGTTGGCCGTGAAGGGCATGGTCGTGCGGTGAGCCCAGTGGAGTTTGGAACCTGTGAGAGAGGTCGGAGAGCAGTCTCGGGTTCCTTGTAATGAGCGCTACAAATGAGATCTTATCAGAGGAAATGAGTCAGGTTTTGGGACGGTGAGCTGTAAGGAAAGCTGACTCCAACTTGGGAGTTAGGAAAGGCTTACTCAAGAAAGGGATGCTTGAGCTGTGATCTGGAAAGCAGTGATCAAAGAGAGACTGAGGGGGTTGAGCACCCTGAGGGGACAGCGGTGCAGAAGCTGGGGGGTGGGTGAGATGACAGAGGGGATGGTGTACAAGACAGGGCAGGAAGGGCGGGCAGAGGTCAGTACAAGACCCTTGGTGCCACGTTAAAGACTAACGGTGCAGTGAAAGAAATGGGAACCACTGGGGCGTTTACTGGGGACAGTGTGTAAGGAGTTCACATAATTGGGCTTGGGTCTTTAAAGGCCCCCTGGAGGTTGCGGTGAGACTGACTTTGAGGACACAGGAGTGGCTGTAGATAGATAAGTCAGAAGGTTGTGGATGTGGATGAGGCTGGACCATGCTTTGAGCCAAGATGGAGGGGATGCCGATGGAGACAGGTGGCCTGGAGACTGTACTCCAGGTACCAAGTGAACTCTGGGGGTACCCCGATGGATCACCCTTAGAGGCCCTTCTTCAGGGTGCCTGAGAGGAGGGAGACACCCAGTAGCACAGACGTATGCACAGCGGTGACTGCAGTGTGTGCTGAAAAATGAGAAATGGCCATCACTGTACTCTGCAAGTATGTCTATATCCTTTGCAATAGGACTTCTGGCTCATCCCACCGAGAGATGGAATCTGTCTCTCTAACACTTGGAATGGTTTCACCATGTGCTTTTGTCAACTGTGCTAGAAATGAGAATGGAAAAGTTTGGTGTTAGAGCCTCAATTGTCCTTGCTTCTACCGTACCTAGAACACTTGCTGGTTCTAGAACAAACGTAAGTAACTGCCTTGATGACACACCCAGACTCAATCATCTGTCACTTTAGCTGATAAGAAGATAGTTGCCAGCTACGTAATAAAATCTTAGGCCAGTCAACCCTGGGTACTTGACCAGGTGGGTACAGGAACATGCCACACCTCAACCATGTTCAGTAGACTCTGTGGCAGACCAGCCGAGGGTTTAGCTGGCTTACAGATTCAGGACTGTGGGAAATGCTCACTGTTTGCAGCATCGACTGGATAAGTGTGGCCCATGAGCACAAGTTATCTATTTTCTTCGAATATAGTTGTGCCCATTTATTTACATATTGTCTCCAGTTGCCTTTGGGTTTCATAGGCAGAGGTGAGTCGTTGCACATGATGGGCACAGCCCCAAATATTTACTCTCTGGCTCTTTAATAAGATGTGCTCACGAGTTTTGGAGCAGCTTGTTACACAGCACTGACTGACTGATACATAGGGACTATGGCAAGAGAGCCAAGGAAGGTATAAAGGAAAGGCGGGTGAGCTCTGTACTGACCTGGCATGTAGCTGTTGGGAGCGACTCAGGAGAGGGAGTGACGTTAACTGCCTTGAGCCATGAGTAAACTTGGGCTCAGAGGGAAATGAAGAAACCAAGGGCCAGGACAATGATGACCAGGCCCAGGCCATGTGGCAGGTTTCCTGGTTCCCACTTAATGCCTCCCCCTCCCTCCAGTGGACACTGTGAATATTTTGGTGACAAGAGGGGCTTTGCATTGCAGCCTTTATGTTTCTCAGATGTGGGGTTTGGGGCAGTTTATGTAGCTTCTATGTTACTTAATTTCTTCATCCATATAGTGTGGGTGAGGACAGTAATTCCACAGACTTGTTATGGAATTAGGTGAGGTCATTGGTTCAGGCCCTGTACTACTTTTGTAGACCATTTGGAAAGACTTCTCACCAGGCTTTCTACTGAACCAGGTTTTGAGTCCCACCTCCGGGAAAGCTCTCCTCTGATAAATTTCCAGTAAGAGGAATGGTGTGGGGCATCAGACATGCATACTCAAGGATCCTGGGCCACACAGAGGCCGCTTGTTTCCCCCAAATTATCTCATGCTGGCACTCCCATTACCCGTCTCTTTTGGGGGCTCCCAATGCTATGCTTTCCAACCCACTACCTGCCATTCCCTCAACGTCTGACTGACAGATTCAGTCACTTCGAACTTACCTCTGGATCCCGTTTCTCTGGGTGGGGCCTGAGAGCGCCCATAGGCTCACTCA